ATGAAATGTACTCGTTCCACACTATCTGAGGGCTTTCGCAGGCAGGATGTCCCATAAACAACAGATCTTCCTAGGAAGCAAAGGATTCTTACTTGAGAGCAGAAACTACAGACTAGGAACTAGGAAATGTGTTGTAAATTAATTGGAAACTTTTATGAAAATGCAGTCTGTTGTTAACACTTTGCTCCGTTTATTTTTTGCTTTTGTGCACGTGCTCTCTTCCTGCCTGCCCCCATCTGCGTACACACACACACACACACTGTATATGCTCCTCCCTCTCTTTTCCTTTTTTTCTCTTTTTTCTTCTTCTTTCCCTTCCTTCCCTTCCCTTCCCTTCCCTTCCCTTCCCTTCCCTTCCCTTTCCCCTTCCCTTCCCCTTCCCCTTCCCTTCCCCTTCCCTTCCCCTTCCCTTCCCCTCCCCTTCCCCTCCCCTTCCCCTCCCCTTCCCCTCCCCTTCCCCTCCCCTTCCCCTCCCCTTCCCCTCCCCTTCCCCTCCCCTTCCCCTCCCCTTCCCCTCCCCTTCCCCTCCCCTTCCCCTCCCCTTCCCCTCCCCTTCCCCTCCCCTTCCCCTCCCCTTCCCCTTTCCCTTTCCCTTTCCCTTTCCCTTCCCCTCCCCTTTCCCTTTCCCTTTCCCTTTCCCTTTCCCTTCCCTTTCCCTTCCCTTTCCCTTCCCTTCCCTCCCCTTCCTCCCCTCCCCTCCCCTCCCTCCCCTCCTCCCTTCTTTCTTTTTCTTTTCCTTTCTTTCTTTCTTTCTTTCTTTCTTTCTTTCTTTCTTTTTCTTTCTTTCTCTTTTTTTAGAGAGGGAGGTGGGGGCAGAAGGGCAGAGGGAAAGGGAGAGAGAGAATCTCAAACAGACTCCCTGCTGAGCACCCAGGTTCAGAGTTCCATATCAGGACCCTGAGATCATGACCCGAGTTGAAACCAAGAGTCAGGCGCTCAACCAACTGAGCCACCCAGGCGCCCCACTCCCTTTTTCTCTCCCTGCCCTCCAACTTACTTATTTTTTTCTGAACCATCTGAAAGGAAGTTAAATACATCATGGTCCTTTTTCCCTAAGTCCACTAAGTAAGGGTATTTCCATATACACCTGCAGTACAGTTACCAGCCTCAGTAATTTAACATTGATAGGATGCTTTACTGGTCATATCCCTGTGTTAGTATTTGATCTGGTATTATCTGTATCATTTTCCCCCCTCCATTATAAGGCCCAGTCTGTGATAATGTGTTGCATCTAGTTTTCGTATCTCTTTAGTCTCCTAGGACAGTGACATTGTTGAGGAACCCCAGCCCTTCCCCTGACCACTCTTTTTCAGTAAGATATTTTCCATTTGGGTTTGTCTGATGTTTTTCATGGTGACATTTCAGGCCTGACCGCAATACCGCGCACATGATGCAGGTACCAATGTGTGGGGAGACACTTTCAGACGGTGCAGATAGCCTCCTCTCCAGCAGAATATCTCCCCAGGTGGAGCAGCTGCTGAGACTGTTTGCCTCAACCATCTTTCATGTGAGGATGGCAAAGGAATCATCTGCCAGTTCCATTTCTCTTCCCCGTTACTGATTGCTAGTTAGTACACAGCTGTGAGAGCTCTCCGTTCTCCCTTTCTCCCTCCCTCCCTCTGTGTCATGTCTTATGTAAACCCATGGATTCCTCTTTCTTCAGTAGTTTAGAATCTGTTACTGCCTTTGTTTGGTGCTCAGATACCTGGCTGGTCAGAGCCCTCCCCAGCTGGGCCTCTGTCCTTGCAACATACCTCCTCATAATCTTCAGCACTTTCCTGCTTTCTCCTATTGCAAGATGTTCCAGGCTCATTTTGTGCCTCCTTTACCCCTGCCCTGGAATCAGCCAGTTCTTTGAGAAGCCCTGTTTTGTTTTTTTTTTTAGGGTGTACGGTATTAGAAATTAAGATGTCGACACCAGATGTGTTCACTGCTACTGGGGTTTCTTTGCTCCTAGGCCCTTTCGGTGGATAGTGCGTGGCTATACACACATACCTCCCCCATACATGAGGGAACACACATGCATATGCATGTAGATGCATAAATATGCACATGTATACCCAGACTTATTTTTAAAATCATGAGCCTAAGCCCTGTCTCCAGTTTCATTTCATCTCCACAGGGTTCTTCCTTGTCTTTCCCCACTCTAATATTCGTGTGTCTGGCTTCCAACAACATCAGTGTATTCACTAATTTGCTCAGTACTATAAGGCATCTAAGTATTTTCAGAATTGCTTCACTCATTCAACAACAGAAGCAAACCTCCTAAAGAGCTCACGATTTGAGTTCTTCCCTGAACCCTACCGAAGATTGGGAATACTGGGTTTATAAATGGCTCTTTTGCACTTTGCTTTTTTTCATCTTTTTTTTTTTGTAACTAGAAATCATTCCCTATCCGTTCTTTGAGATTTTCATTCTTTCTTGTAACTGCTCAGTACTTCACTGATTGTATGTACCACAGTTTATTTAACCAATTTCCAGTGTTTAGACATTTAGGCAGTATTTTGGCTTGGCATTATTTTGTAATTACAGAGAAAGCTACAAGGAATCACCTGTGAAATGTATTTTTGTGTTGCTGGAGGTGTGTCTTCAAAGTTCCGAGAACTGTGATTGCGGGTTCCAAGAGTAAATGAATACGTAGTTTTGTTAGATATTGCCACATTCCCCTCCATAACAGTGAGTTCATGGCTTTGCCATGACTCTCTTTGGTTTGAGAGTTATTTGCATATCAGGGACATTAACCTTTTATCTGTGATATTAACCTTTTATCTGTGATTTATGCTACAGATATTTTTTCTTGGTTCCTCATTTGTCTTTTGACTTTGCTCATCTTACTGATTGCCATACAAAAAATTTTTATGAGATCAAATTTGTAAATTTTTTATTGCGTCTGGATTGCAAGTCATAGTGAGAAAGCCTTTTTGTGCACCCAGATTTTGGAGGAATTCACCCATGTTTTATTGTAGTACTGTAGAGTTTCATTTTTTACATGTAGACATCTGACCCGTTTGGTGTTTATGCTTTTGTGCCAAGTGAGGAATGGGTCTAATTTATCCTTTTCCAGTTGTCCCAACACTGTTTCTTAAAAGTTCATCTTTGCCCCAGTAATTTGAGATACGATCTTTACCGTACACTAGATTTCTATATGCAGTTGGGTCTATTTCTGGACTTTGTCTTTCTCGAAGTCCCAACTGAGTTTTTATTAAACATTTATATCTCAGAGGCTACCAGGTTCCAGGATTTACAACACAGAGGAATTTTTAGGCCTGTTCCCCTTTTGTGGTGTAAGAGTAGGTCCTTATTATTTTCCTACACTTTTTGAATTTTCCCAATTTTCAGAAACCAGCCAAAATTATTTTTGTCTTTAAGGAAACTGTTTAAAGGTGGGGTGCCTGGGTGGCTCAGTTGGTTAAGTGTCCAACTCTTGATTTCAGCTCCGGTCATGATCTCAGGGTCGTGAGATGGAGCCCTGCGTCTGCTTGAGATTCTCTCTCTCTCTCCCCCTTTGTCCCCCCCCCAGTAAATAAAATACTTTTAAAAAGAAAACTTTTTAAAGGTATTATCAGTTTTTAAACAGTAAACTTTAGCATGAATCTTTAATACCCCCCAAATATTACCACTGGTATCCCCCCTTTTCCTTATATCCCCTCAATAAAAGAGGTGTTTCAGAGAAGTGTGTATGATGTACGTGAAGAAGAGGACAGGTGGAAGGTCAGCCAGTCGTAAGAGCCCTGTGTTTTGCCTCCTATGGCTGCTAAGAACCACCACGGAAAACAGTTTGTTCTTCTCCTTCTTCACATGAGTGAACAAGTATAAAGTACAGAGAAGATGTGAGTGCAGGACTCACATGGAGGAACTGGGATAACTGGGTAGCCAGAGTTTTTTTATATGTAACATTTTAAGTATTCGCTTCCTTAGAAGAGGCTTAAATAGGGGTATGTGCGCATTCACTCTCTTTCTCTCCCCTTCCGCCCCCTCTCTGTACTTGAATGGCCTCCCTTGAGTGGAATGACTTGATTTTTAAATGTTTCTCATAACTTGGGGGCTATAATAAAAAATCTATTTATAAGACCCATTTAGAGGAGACAGGACTCACATTGGCCGTACGGTCTCTGTTTTTATCAAGTTATATTTCAGGGAACATATTTTCTCAAGGAAAAATCAGGACATGTAATTTGATTTAATTCAACATGTCACATCCTATAAAGCTTTAAAAGTGAAGCCAGGTTTAATTATAAATTTGACAAGTCACTGTTTTGGAATAGAAGAGAATTCTGTGAAGGTGGGACATGCCCTGTAAGTGTATTCAGATGATGAGCCACGTGATAGCTGACACGCTCAGGAATTCTTCTGTTGTGCTGTGTATCCATCAGGCAGTCGTGAAGGTAACAGTGCTGTCTTCCAATTTAGTGCCACCAAGACTATTATTTTATTGTAGCAGCTCTACTATTCTGTTCTACTCTTCTGCTGTAGTATCTCTCCGAAAACAGAAACCAGGAATTTTCTTTAAAATTTTGTTCTTCAAGGGGCACCTGGGTTGCTCAGCCAGTTAAGTGTCTGCCTGTGTCTCGGGTCCTGATCCCGGGGTCCTGGGATCGAGCCCCACGTTGTCAGGCTCCCTGCTCAGCGGGGTGTCTACTTCTCCCTCTGCCCCTCCCCCCCCACCCCGCTCATGCTCTCTCTCACACTCTCTCTCTCAAATAAATAAAATCTTTAAAAAAAAAAATTCGTTCTTCGAAGCACTCAGAACAGCTTAGATTCGTATGTGTCTATACACAAGCATAACGTAGAACTTGCCTCTGAATAAGCTTGTCATCACGGGGAAACCTTTAGACTTCAGTTCCTATATGAGGTCTTTGACTTTCATGTACAGGTGGCAGTTCTCCGTGTTGCTGGCTGGTAGTTAAGCGGTAACAGACTTAAGAGTATTAAGACATTTTATAGGCTGGTGTTCCTGTTAATCTCAAACCTTTCATGTCGTTCCACTGTTTGTGTTTCAGTCTTACAGTGACCAGTGCGGCAGGAAAGAGAAACCTGAGTCCCAGCCCAGCAGAAGCTGACTTGCAGGCCAGAATATCGGGGGATATTTCTGACCCTGAGCTCGAACAGACGGAGTCCTGTGCAGAACCCCTCTCCGAGGGAAGGAAAAAGGCCAAGAAATTAAAAAGAATGAAGAAGGACCTTTCACCAGCAGGTTTGTATAAGATCTTAGTAGAGTTCTGGAGTTGTGTACTCTTTAATGCTTTAGAAGCTCATAGTTGGGGGGAGAAGTGATAGCAGGGTTTCGGCTGGTGGCAAAGCCCAGGTACAGTAGGCTCCCCCACGCCGCCCCCTTATCCACAGTTTCCCATAGTCAACCTCGGCCCGGAAGCAGGGGATCCTTCTGACATATGTACGATCAGAAGGTCAGTGGTAGCCTAATGCTAGGTCACCATGCTTATGTCACTCACCTCACTTCATCTTGTCAGGGGGGCATTTTATCATCTCACATCATAAAAGAAGAAGGGTGAGTCCAGGACAGTAAGATTTTTTAAGAGAGAGAAACCCATTCACATGACTTTTATTACAGTCCATTGCTATCATTGTTCTCATTTGTTATTAGCTCTTGTTAGTCTCTTACTATGCCTCATTTATAAATTAAACTTTATCACAGCTGTGGATGTACAGGAAATAACATGGAGTCTATAGGGTTTGGTACTACCGAAGTTTCAGGCACGCACTGGGTGCTTTGGACTATGTCCCCCGCAGATGAGGGGGAATTCTGTAGTTCTCCACGGGACCAGATGCTTTTTAGGATCCATTTAATTTGAGGAATCCCTAAAAAGCCCTGTCTCTTGATAGAGGAAGGCTTGGCAGGGGCCTTCTCAGTTAAAGATGGTTACTCCATTTTGGTAATCCCCTCTCTCCTCTATGGTTTAGAGGTTTTGCTGATGTGTGTAAGTAGCCTCAGTATCTTAAATGTGCATTTAAATTTGCACAGAGGCCTCCTCCTACACATGTTATTTTCAGTGGCAGCGTTTTCACCATTCCCAGCAAAACGCCAGGCAGCCTGGATTTCTCTCATACGCAGAATTACATAAGGGGGGCGCCTGGGTGACTCAGTCGGTAAGTGTCTGCCTTTGGCGCAGGTCATGGTCCCAGGGTCCTGGAATCGAGCCCCGCACAGGAAGCCTGCTTCTCCCTCTCCCACTCCCCCTGCTTGTGTTCCCTTCTCTCGCTGTGTCTCTCTCTGTCAAATAAATAAAAAATCTTAAAAAAAAAAATAAGAATTATATAAGGAGCAAAGGAAACCAGAACCTAACAGCCTAGTATGTGCAAGGTGCTGTAGTAGGAGCCTTTTCTCTCCTGATTTAATTCCCTTCTTGCCTGAAGCCAAATCCCACGTTCTCTCCGTCACCCGGATGCCGTGGGGGGTCTGTGAACGAGCGCAGCCCTCCGTGTGCAGACCCTCTACAATGCTGGACTGCGACACGAGGGAGGAGCTTACTGGTCAGCAAGGCCAGTTCCCTGCTCGGGAGACCCGGCCGTCACCTGCTGGGTCCCACGGCTGTCATGGTGACAAGACTTACAGCCCTCGCTGACTGTTGCTTGCTCAGGGCCCGGCGCGGCGTCTCATGCTTGGTGGGAGTTCTTTCCTTTAAAGTTCTGAGGTGGTCCTCAAGGTCCATTTCACATTTAAGAGATTGGAGGCCTGAAGGGTAATGGGACCTGCCCAAGGTCACGGAGTCCTTCAGTTTGTCCTTTACAAGAGAGCCCGTGCTCTCCCTGCATGGTTACGCCACTGCCTGTCTGCTTGGGATAGGAGGGCCGCTGACCCAGCCCCGAGTGTGCCTGTCTCACATCCTGATGGACTCCCGGTGAGCAGAACCAACAGTCAAATCAAAGGAAGGTGTAGGAAAACCATGGAACCTGATTCATACCCAAGCTAAGAATTCACCATGTTTCAGATTAATTCTTCCTTTTACACATGGCCTGATCTGACGGCAGGGAGTTTTCTGAATCTCATTGATACTAATGAAATCAAAGAAGCAGCAGAAATGTTGCATATGTTTTTATACGTTATGCTGAGGCTTAACTTTAACTGAAAACTTAAACTTCCTGTTTGAAGCCCGGCTTGTTTTTTTCAGCTGCCTCCTTGAACCCCGCTGTTCTCCTTGACTTGCCTCCCTTCCGTTCCCTAAATTGAGCATTGGAGAGAAGGCTTTATTTATTTATTTATAAAAGATTTTATTTATGTATTTGACAGAGACACAGCGAGAGAGGGAACACAAGCAGGGGGAGTGGGAGAGGGAGAAGCAGGCCTCCCTCTGAGCAGGGAGCCTGATGCAGGACTCGATCCCAGGACCCTGGGATCATGACCTGAGCCGAAGGCAGACGCTTAACGACGGAGGCACCCAGGCGCCCTGAGAATGTTTTATTTTGTAACGCCCTTAATCTTCACCTGTGATACCCTCTTATGACTGCCGCATTGTATCTGCTCAGCCAATGTTCATATTGAAAGTCGGATGACTTTTAGAGATCATGGCTATTGTGGTGAGGGGCGGGGTCCCCTCTTGTATTCCTTTCCTTCCTATCTCAGTCTCCTCTGAATTTTTCAGCTTATCTGTTAGTTCTCAGGGGCAAGATGACAGGTGTTTTTTTCTCCCCTCTATCTCAGCATAATCTTACAGGTATTAACATTAAAATACCTAATAATAGACTGCCTGAATAGATTAGCTCTTTTTATAACTTTCATCATTCTAAGTGAAAACTTTCTGTGAGTTATTTGGGGTTTTGAATGTATAATACCGTCATTAAAATAGGTTTTTATTTTCCTCCCATTGACAGTAAAGCTGTCACTGCCTCAAGATTTGAGCTAAAAAAGAAAAAATGATAGATTTTGTACTTCTTTGTCAGTCCCGCTAAAAGAGAAAGAAACATCTTGACAGCTTTTAATTGAATCAGAGAACTTGAGATAATTGGGCTTCGGGAGCACCATTCACCGGGTGAGGCCTTCCAGCAGCACGAAGCTGGAAGTTTCATGGGTTCTTCTTCGCACTCATGTTCTCAGCAGGATGTCGGTTGAGATAACCAGGCTCTGAGCATGTGGAGTTGACCAGTTTCGATTGCTCAGTGCCTTTCATAAGGTCCTATAGTGAGTGAGAATACAAAGGTCTGACCCTGTGAAGGGTCTGTATTAAGTGCTCAAGGGCTCAGAAGAGTACCAGGAGCCGTGAAGACCTGGTTGGGGTGTTGGCAGCAACCGGATGGGACGCTTTGGTAGGGCGTGGGAAAGTCTGACCTGCAGAGACAGGTTCTAGGGCATCCTGTCTGAGCTCTCCTCCTGGCAAGAGTATCTTGACAGGGCCTCAGGTGATTCACCAAGGTGTGTGGGGTGCCCAGCGCTGTCAGCGAAGGCATGAAAAGTACAAAAGACACTGTTCACCTTTGAGGGAGATTTCTGTTTTCTAAGGAGGAAGTAGCAAAAAGTAGGACCACAGAATATTGTGTATTGTAGCAGTCCTGGGACAGTTGGTGCTCAGTAAATCCCACACAAAACAGTGTCATCTGTCTTAGTTATACATTTTAATGTCGAAGATGCACTAAGAGTGCTAGACCGCTTCCCAGCTAACAAAATGACTTAAATTGCAAAAGAAATGACTGTTTATTGAGTTTATATCATGTAGCAGGCATTGTGCCGGGAACATCCTTTACTGTCTGTTCCTTATAAAAAGCCGGTAAAGTATAGATACCAGTTATTTCCAATTTCTAGAGAGGAAACAGGCTCAAAGAATTCAGACTTGCAAAGTCAAATATAGCTGGTCTTGGGGGCCCTGGGGAGGGCCGTCTGATCCAGAGTTCACACGTTGGATCACTCTGCATGCAGTATGTGAAATTTATCCAAACTTTAGAAGAAGTAAAGGACTCTTTACAAAGATGAGCATTTCTGGCAGCTGGTCAAGAGCAGAAACAATTGGCAACTTGGACTTTCTTGTGATGAAGTCACGTGAGCCAAGCAACCGTTCTCTTTTGGAGCTTACTGTGTACATATTATGTACTTGGCAAATATTTTTCTCCTCAGTGTTGTTTCTGTCCTGTGTTCAGGCTACAGACATATAACGTAAGTCCCTTCCTTTTATATTTATTAGGATTAGTGTAGATTGGTAGTGCTATCTACTTTTCCTCGGGGGGATTCAAGGTACATTCTCAGCTGGTACGTAAAGAAAGAGAGCTCTGCTTGCATTTTAGGCTGGACTAAAGTATCTCGAGGAAGTGGTCCCCAGACAGTGTTTAATGGACGGATTTCCACAGCACACTTGTTCTTGCTGATGAGTGGATTGTGTTCCGGTGTCCTCTTGCTGACCAGACTGACCACTCTCAAAATATTGATGGACAGTCCGGCAGCCAGAGGTTCTATCAGGCCCTGTTAGCGTTCACGGAAGAGTGCCCGAGACGCTGACCATTTCTGGTGACTGTGTGTGTCATGTCATAGGCTGCTGCAAGTCTTTTTCCTCCTCACATTTAAAACACAGCACAGTAGACCTTTGAATGTTTGCCAGGAACCAGGAGTGTCATGGGAGTCTCGAGTAATCTGTTGAACTTTTCAAGCTTGCATCCTTAAGGTTACAGTGTAAAAATTTAGGATCTGAGCAGCAGGCTGCAGTTGCTGACCATCTAGGCTAGGGAAGGGCAGCCAAGGAGCTTTTTAATTCTTCAATTGAAATGTGGCTGACAGCCTCAGTGTGGCCCCTGTGCTGTGCGGTGGGCCGTCCGCTGCCCAGTCCCTATCCCCGCCGGCTGCCTTCCACCCAGGGAAGTTCTGCCTTCTTGATGTAGGAAACCGCCCCTTCGCCAGGCCCTCTGGAGCGTCTCCCAGTTAAATACGTTTGTATAGCACCCCACAGGATCTTTCTCTCTCCAGGATTCCACTCTAGAAAATGATAACGATGGCAGATTTCCAGTGTTTGAGATTCTGTTCTGAATTCACCTGAGGGCAGAAATGTCTTCCCTCACAGAATCTCTCCCTTTCAGCTGTGGAGAGAAGAAAGGTGAAGAAGCCCAAATGGTCACCTTTTGTGTTGACCACTTTTTAATTTCTTTTGTTGTTTTGTTAATAAAGATAACATGCTCGCTCACTATGAAAATCTATAAAATGAAGAAAAACAGAAGAAAATTAAATCCCGTGGTTGCCTCTCTGTTAACAAGTGTTTTTAC